TTACATAATTTTTCGCGAGATCGGTATCAGAGCAGAGGATGCGGCGCTTTGATGAGGGCGGCCGATAAAATTAGGAATCTGAAGCGATTCGCGCGCGTTCCCGACGACGCCACGAAGCCACGCAAAGTATCGACCGGCGATCGACAGAGATAAGTGCGATCTCTGTTATTAGCGATAGGCATCGATTCATAAAGCAAATCGACAGCCACCGAAGGCGTTCGCTCGGACGAGCGCGCAGCTCGATTTACGCGATACGTACTCCCCGTTTTCGGCAAGCTTTAGCGCCGCCTCCGCGTTAATACTCTTGGTAATTTCGTGTAAACACGGTGTCGTACAACGCTTTATAGTTCCAACGCCAGCAATGTTTCATCGTATCGCGTATTTTCGCAAAATTTCACGTGCAACGCAATAGTTTTCGAGCATGGAAAAATTTGAGCAATTATTATTCTAAGTTATAAATTTATACAGTCATCCCCCGAGTTACGTAAGTGAACGAAATTGTAAATTGCTCAAGTATAACTTCGTAAGAAATGCAATATTTATTATTATATATATATATATATATATATATATATATATATATATATATATATATATATATATATGTATATTATTTTATAAATGAAACATCATTGCAGCAGGATTTACTCGGATATAAACTATAGAGGTATGAAAAATATATACAAAAGAATATAAAAACAAACTGAAATAACATTTGCTGTCAATGCCGAATCTAGTTAATACTGTATCGTTGCGTACTGCAGCGAACATCAGACATGTTCATACGCGCTGGTAGTTGTAAATTTTCGATTCATTACGTAATTGCAAATTTAAATAAATCACGTATTACGTAAGTCAGGAGAGGTTACAGTACTATAAGATTACGCCTCTAAATGAAAAAACGTTTTGTACAAATTACTCGCGGCGACAAGTCTGTGCAAATTTTCGCGTCTTCGACGCGAACCGAAAGGCAAATGAGTCGAAACGACAACGTTGCACAAACTTGAAGGAGCAAGTGGTTGACTTCAAAGGCAACCTGGCCTCGAATCTCCATGAAACAAGCACACCCGGGAACATTCCACGAACGTGGATCGATGATGATCGTTATCCTGGACGCGTTGGAGACGCGTTCGATTGACACGTCAGAAGCAATAAGGCAGTCGTCGAGTCCGCGAGCCTTCAATCAAAGAACGATATTATTAACCGGCGGGTTTTTCTCGTTTTTCTCGTTTCTCGGCAGCACCGAGGCTGATCACCGAGTGATCCGTGGCCTCATTACCGACGCCAATTATCGAATGGACGATTCGATCGGCCACGGTGGCAAACGATCCCTGGTTCGACTCTCAATCAACTCGGACGACGAACGAAGAACGCGCTGGACGCTGATCGACGACCATGCAGCCGCATGACGATCGACTGCAATTTCGATGATGATACGGAATTATCCAGCGCGAAGGGATCACCGGTCCCCCGAAGGATCAACCCGGTCGGTCGGTCGATCGACTCTCTCCAGGCTGCTCTTTCGTCCATCTCTCTTTCTCTCTTTCTTTCGCACCCTGTGACTCTTTTAACAATGTTCGTTCGTACGCTCTTTCTCCTTCCTCTGCTGTAGCTGCTGTTGCTGCTGCTGCTGCTGCTGCTCACTTGCGATATACATAGAAAGAGGAAGATGGAAGGAGGGGGGCAGTGTATGTGCGCGCGAAACTTTATTACACGTGCAGACGACGATCGGGGTGGAAGGACGATCACGGATCCGCGGGCGAACTTCGTTACGGGCCTGTGTGATTTTCCATGCAAATTGAGTTGTTCGCCTGTCATTATGCTAATAAAAGTAATGACGCGTCGCGTATGTACGGGTAATGCAGCTGCTGTAATGAACCACGGTGTGTATATCGGCGTCGGAGGTCCTCGCACCGTTCGCTAAGCGTGACACCGCGACATTTCTTCGCGTTCCACAGGCGAAACAGCTGTACAGGCCAACCGAGAAAAAGTATTTTCGCACGCCGGAGAGATTTGTATTTTGAGATTGTCAAGCATATTTTGCCCCCGTTACCACACACATGCATATTCGTCCTCTTATCCGTCCTCTTATCTAATGGTAAATCGTTTTAAACGACAAGGGAAGCGGATAAATGACATCTGTCCGGTTAATTGCCGCGGGAAATGTCGCAGTGCGGACGTAACGCGCAACGAAACGAAACGCGTTACAACGTGCGTAACGCTCGGGAAACGGAATCGTGAAATAACGCGTGCACAATAGCGCATTTAATGGTTGGTTACGATTGCGGAGATACACGGGTGTTTCTTCTTCGCGATAGGAAGGAAGAAAAGTGAAAACGGTATCGATCGATTCGAAAGAGACGAGATCTAGACGACGATCAGTTGTTATTACTGCGAAGGATCGATGCTGTGCGTTAACAGGTTTGCACGTTTGTTTCTCTCGGTATGTACAAACAACCGCTTGCTTCTATTTGGAACACGTACGTTGTTACTGCTTTCGTGCATAACTTTACATAATACCTCTTAGATTCGTACGATAGCGAGAGGTGCGTGATGAGCCACGTTCTTAGATTTCAAAACATTCCTACGAAGTGTTACATAATTACAAAGAGGGGAACGATCGCAGAATTACTTTGTCTATCAAATTCGTATCAGATGTTCTTAACACTTGTAATAAGCAAAGGAGAGGATGCTTGAGAATGCTTGATTGCAACGAAACGGAATGCTTGAGAAACACAATTTCACATTCTAGCCTCTGATATACTTTTCTAATATACTAAAACACTATTTTTTCCAATATTTAACACGTTGAATGCTACGAGTGGAAGATTAGTAAAAAAATATAATTCGGGTGAATACTTTTAAATTTTTATAGCTTCGTTGCTACAATAGTGTGATGAAATTAATGCAGTCTAGAACAAGTAAAAATAATTTTATTTATGACATGTATGAGTAAATGTTATTCGCGTATGTTGTGATATATATCGTATTAAAACACCGCAAATAAAGAAAAGTTAAATCAATACAGTCTTCACAACGTGACGACACTTTTGGTACAATTTCTTGCTTTTGCTCTACCTAATTGTTTCGAATTATTTTCATAACATCCTCGTCCGATTCTGGTTTTCCTGCCATTATTTTCTTAGGCTCGTGCAGAAATACAACCTTCAATTTCGTTATATCGTAAAAAATAAATGAAAATCGAAGAAACCGGTGACGCCCGGTAAAACAAATCCATTAAACATGTTTACATGCTTCAACTTATCTGTTGTAGATAATACCTGTGTATTGTGTAATAACAAATTCATGTTGACCTGAGCCAGACATACAAAATCCGCGTGGCATTCAACGTGTTAACCAATCAACTTTCGATTTCTTTTCACTAGTTTTTTTCCACGAGCAAAGATCTAAATATTCGCAACCTCCCCCCAGTTCGCCGAGGATGAGATCCACAGCTGGTTGACAAATCGAGCGTGCCTGTAGTCTATTGATCTATCGGCGAGCACCGTTTCTCACAGAGCATCGGCGGCGTGGATCGTAGAAGCGATCGCGGAAACGTCTGACGGCGGTGCCACCGCGTTACGTGCGTGCATAATGCATATCGCGTGACTCCGTCACGGATCCGGACAGTTACAACGTGTACACGCGTAACAATATCGCGTATCAGGGGGAATCTCTTTCTCGCTCGTTCTCTGGCCGCCGACGTCTGGCATTTTAATCGAAGCTGCGAGGGAGAAACGGGGACTGCCGGCGGAACGCGTTATCTTTGCGGCCGTGGCGGCGTGACGATCGCCTCAAAAGCGAAATAAAGGCAAGTTCGTACTTTTCGCGTGCACCGCAGTGGCTTTCTTTCGAATTCCGCATTCGTCGCGGAAAAGAATTTTTTCTTTGCAATTGGAAATGCGTCGGAGAATCGTCATACTCTATCGAATACTCTACACTTTGTCTACCGGAAGCCTATTAATCGGCTTTTTTTTTTTTATGTCGACGGTTATCGCTCGAATTAATTACTTTTAGTATATTCAATATGCCTGACGATGATATTGACCATATTGTGCTATTATAATCGAAATCGTGAGTTGTACGTTGAGCATCGTGACTAAATGCACTTTATTCGACACGATATCTGACACATGACACTAGAAAAGGATTAATAACGAAATCGCGATTGCGTTTTTAGCGGGTAACTTTTAGCGGAACTCGGTTCCCAACGGATCACCCTTCGAAATGAAGGCTGAACGATCTCACGGAGACACGCGTTTCCTATATTCAGAATGCGTGAAATTGCGTACTCCGAGGATTCGCCGCGTTTGCTCTTCCGTTTCGTATGCGCGATACGTGTGATAACATTGTTTATACACGTTAATACATTGTAGCAATTGGCAAAGAGATTTCTAACTGCGTAGTAATTTTTCAACCATATTCGTCTCGGTTGTTAGTTGACGTTAATTAAACCTGATGCTTGTTGCTCGTCTACGACGAGCAACTGGCTACGAAACGAAGATCGAATAGGATTTCGCAAGGAAAAATAAACTGGAGTTAAAAAAAGAGGGAGAGGGAGAGGAATTAATTGGAAATTCAGCGTAACGCGATACGCGATAGCGGGCAACGGTGGAAAAACTGCGACTGTTGGCTAGGCACGCCCGCTGTTTTACGAGCGGTTACGTGGGTTCAGCACGTCGGCCAATTACACCTTCCACGGTTAGGCGGTTCCTTCGTCTTAACGGGCAGTTAGTGCCAACATAAATGTCCCTGCTGCACGCTTTTAATTGCCCGCTTATAGCGCCGCTCGCGATGCACGAAGCGGGCGCTAGCGTTGGAAAAAAGGCAAGGTCGCGCCGCGATCCGAGACGTGGTACGTATGTACATACACGCAGGGCTGGTGATCCCTGTTTCACAAATTGCTGGCAACGCGATCACGCGTTATGTGAAAAGGCGGTCCTTAAATTTTGTACCGTTTGCACGAATTAAATTTAAAAAAAAAAAAAAGAAAAAATTACGTAGCTCTAGTACTAATTAATTCGATTCAACGACCAAGTTTCCAAAGTCATCTTCTTAATTGTTCGTTCGATGTTTTAGTCTGGCGTCGCCTACGCGTTAGAGATCGACAAAACTGACAGAGAACCTGCGCGAGTCGAGTAATCGATCAACGACCGTGATCTTCGCGCCTCGGCGTCACGCGTGCGGAACCCAACGACGAGCAAAAGGGAGTCAAACTGAGACGTCGAGCCAGGCTCATTAACATCTCCGGGTGGACGCGCGGCCCTCGCGAATCCCCGATCGCCACAATATATTTTAATTAAAGATTACACCGTAAATATCGTTTATCGGCGTCGTAAGTCAGCTGTCGGATATAACATTGGGCTTGGGAGCGAGGGACCGCGTGGGTGTGACATGGTGCGCAGACCGGTCAGCGAGAGCAGGCAAGCAAGCAGGCAGGCAGGCAGGCAGGCAGGCTCAGGTGGCCTCCTCGGCCGATAACTCCTCGCGCCGAAATAGGAATACTTGAAATTCGGTTATTAATTTCGTTTGGAGGGCCCGACGGGGCGCTGGCGACCCCCTCGTGCGTGTCAGCCGGGGTTGGGATCTTCCTGCCTCGCCCTTGGAACTCCCTTGAGACAATGGCCGCCCGTGGTGCCCGATGTCTCCGACGACGTCTCCGGACCCCCGCCGTGGCACGCCATGCCCGTCGCCATTTTACTGCTATAGAGACGTCAGATATCCGTCCCGTCATTTCGTATTCGTGGCCTCGAGACCCCCTCCACCCTCGAGGATTTTTCGTGCTCGCCGGATCGCCCTTTCAATCGCGAGCGCGCGATCGACTTTCCATCGAGTTTGCACTCGAAGTAAAAATATTTTTAAAAGGTAATGAGATTGCGTCAGCAGAAACGACGAAAAATTGTAAAGAAGGCGCGATAAAAGGGGGGGAGGTGTAATTTCGGGAACGGTGGTCGTCAGGAACGTCTCATTATGCAATCACGCTGGAGATAATCTGGCCCGTCGATAGAAATCTGCCGCTTAATTGAGACTTAACCGCGGGCATCGATGCCGCGATTATGCCGTCGTTGTCGTACGAGAAAAGACACGCGTCCTGCCTCGGTTTTACCCGATCGTTCGGACGAGATGGAGACCACGACTTCATTCCACTCGTACTCGTATTCGTAGCGGAGCGTACGAAGAAGGAGCTCGCTAGATTTATCGTGATGCATCGGGATACTGACAAGAACAGCTGTGCTCGACCGAGCTCTCGCAGCGGGGACGGATCCGCCGCGGGAAACAAACGTACGATAACGATCCCTGTGTTTTGCGCCGCGTATGATGTTATTGTCGCGACTGATCGCAATTTTCAGCCGAGAACGCGCTGCTGATTTATCGTGGCCGCGCGACCAGCGTATAGCTAGCCATATCGCTTCAACGCGACCGCTAGAGAGATGCGGCACACGCGAGCGTGAAACGCCTCTCGAAACGATCGCGTGCTTCCCCTCTTCTTCTTTCGCCCTCTTCTGCGAGAACATTCCAAGAAATCGGCAAACTCGCGGCGCGGATGGGAGAGATCTCTCGACAAATTACACCTGCGATTAGGTCGCTCCCTCGCCCCGGGGATTATTATTACCAAGTAATTAGTTGTTGCTCGTTCTCTTTGGATCAGTCTCCGATACCTCACGGTCTCGTAGTTATCTCGTTACGCGACCGTGGCAGAATTCAATAACCGGTGGCGTTCACGCGATGCCATCCTCCTCTCGCGGGCGTCTTCTCGTTCGCACGAAGATCACCGGCTTCGTGCCGGTAAATGCTCTCTTTGCCGCGTTTTCGAGTGTTCACCGTTGGAACAAAGTTTCCGTTTGCTCGACGGTTGTACGCCTGCAGTTTGCATGCCTGGATCGTGGCAGCGCTCACGGGAGGAAGGCGCGACGCTTAATGACGCGTCTCGAACGAGGTCGAGGCGCATCGATAACGTGTAATTTCCAAACGTTGTATGAAATTTGTATGCTACTTACGCCCTGGATTCCAAGTCCGTGGAACGTTTTGTCCGTGACAGGTCCGTGTTGCGTCGTCCACAAAGTTGCCGGGTGCGATGGTTATGGAACACAAAGTAAAAATTGAAGACACACCGTTTCGCAGAATCGAGCATCCAACTGTCGTCACGCCGATTTTTCATTGGACGAATTGTCGTCACGAGAAACGAAACGTCCGCAGCGGAACGCGTACGCTTTCCAAGAATTTGCATGTTTGATCGTTCTGACGCATTCGTCGACACGCGGCATTCACCGTAACCGTAGCCTTAATCTTGCCCCATCGATCGAACGAACGGGTTCTCGCCTCGTACGGCGAGAAGTTGCCTCGTTCGTGCGAACTTATCGCGAGCCCGAGAGTTTTTTTTTTTTTTTATAATTCGAGTTCGACGCTTCGAGGCGCGTCGGTGGTAAAATTCCGAGTTCGAATAAATGAAGCTGTAACTTGGAGAAGAATTCCCGAGAGAGCTGCAAAACGCTCGCGAAGAAGCGGAAGATCTCGGAACCAGCGTTCGCTCGCGTTTACTCGCCGTTACAATCGCCGCGCCGCAAGAAACTTTCGATTGATTGTGGTGTGGACCGAGCAGGAGAGAACTCAATCAAGCGTCCCCGCTGGGTGAAAAAAATTCTGGGAAAAAGCGTTCGCAAGCGTAGCAACGTCAGCGTCGAGGAATGCCACGTCAGAAGGGCGAGCGCGAACGTCCCGCCGTTCACGACAATGTGTTAATTAGAAATTCATCGTTCGCTTTTTCTGTGGAAACGGGGGCAAGAAAGAGAGTCGCCGGCACCGCCGGTGTGTCGGTAACCGTGAAACACCGAATTTTCGAAGCTGCCGGTTCGTTCTACTTTTTGCCTGCCACCCAGACCGATTGAACCGAGAGTTCGCGGTGCGGGTCGCAATAAGCGAAACGCGATACGCGCGAGACTTCTTTTCTTTTTTCTTTTTTCCTTTCTCAGGGTCTCTGGCCGAATCGATCACGGTCGGTCGTCGCGACGGGAAAGAAACCCGTTCGTTCGTTCGTTCGTTCGTTCGTTCGTGTTAACTGACGGCGTGCATCGGCTTCGTTCGTTCTTTCATTCGTTCGTTCGTTCGTTCGTTCGTTCGTTCGTTCGTTCGTACGTACGTACGTACATATGCACATACGTACGTACGTTTGCTACTTTGTAACATTTCGTGATACGTAATAGCAACCCATACTCACGGATGTTGGATCCTGGACAGCGGAGATGCATCCCGGTCGGCGTATGAAACAGAAAAAAAAATACCCAGGGATATACCCAGATTAAAAGAAAAGAAAAGGAAAGAAATCAAGGCAGAAACAAAGAAAAAAAAAGGGGGGGGGGAAGAAAAAAGGGAGAGCACGCGAGATACGCTGTTGCTCAAAAATTCGAACAGTGGTGGCCGCGAACCGTTTAATTTTCAATTTCGCGGATCGATCTGGCCGGCTTCGTCCCTCGGTTCCCATCGATCCGCTTTCCGTCGCTCGGGCTTTCTTATTATCGTCGATGAAACGCGACCGATTAGGTTCGACCGGCGGCGGCTCGTCGAAAGCCAACGTGAGTACACGATCGGCGAAACGATCGATCAGGACGAGGAGACGGGGAGACGGGAGGGGCGTTTTATGCAGGAATAATAATTGGATTGTAATCGTTGGACGGGACGGAAGCATCGTCTTTCTCTGCCCCCGTGCTACGTGCATAATGACCGCGCGCCAGTGTTCCAAAGTATAAAGACGTTCAGTCCCCGTCGACAATTTGTTATGCATACCTCGCATGGACGAAAATTGCGTTTAATTCGCCGCTGCTTACGCGCACCGTCGAGAGAGCTGCGCTCTCGGCCACTCGAGGCGCTCTTGCTACCGCGGCTCAGCTACCGAACGTTTGGCCACGGGGGCCGAGAAACACGGGGGGATACAGGCCACGCATAAATGTAGATGTTCCATTTAAAAAGCCATTTTCGCGTGTTTAGCATAATACGTAATCGCGCGAATCGGTCGCTCGTCGAATAACTCCCGATCGATCGTTCGTGGCGCGGCTGCGCGTCGCGTCCACCGAGTCGTTAACCATCCTCAACGATCTCCTTCCTCGAGCCGGTGAAAAAACCCTTGTTCGGGATCGGGATCGGGATCGGGGTTTCGTACCGTGTTCCCAGAACAATTTATGTGCCCATACTCTGTCGAGAACCAGCTCGCGCCAAGCATATGATCCATCTCCCCCTTCTTTTTCGCCCGATTTCAGTCCTCTCCCCCCGCAAAACCATCTTTCGTAAATTATTAAGTCGAGGTATCGCTCGTCAATGGGGATACCATGTTCCAGCGGGGACAAAACATGGGCAATTTGATGGGGACACTGGTACCAGCGAATAATTATGCGAAATTTTGTTGTAAACCGAACTAGTAATTGATCGAACGGCAACCGCGAGCGGTGAAGTTTAACGAGCGTTGCGTTTGCATTGTTCGCTCGCTGCTGGTATTCCTGCAAATGTACGTGCGGTTCTGTCGTTTCGAAAATTGGACTCGGCGCTCCATTCGGTTCGATAACATTGAAAAAGGAAGAGGAGATGCAAAACATCTTCGCGAGGGATCAGAAAATATTATAATTACTCGAAGCACGACGTTCGACGACGATCCTTACCCAACTTGTCGAGTCGTTGCGAATTTTACGTCACTAGTTCGCGCGACAACGGGAGATCCACTCGAAACGGTGCTTGCGAATCGTGGAAAACGGGGAATTTTCGATCGGACTTAAACGAGAACACGCGAGCAGAGATGATCCCGGTCGGAGATTCGTTTGTTTGTAAACCGTGAAAATGTTCTGCGGCCGTGCGTTTTCGCTGACAGGGAGTCCCGTGGACGAGGAAGCGAGCTGCGGTTTTCCGACTCGGCCGCGTCCAGCGACTCCTGTTCCGTTTAAATATTCCATCGCGGAATACCAGCACCAGCGCTCCCGAGGATCCCGCGTTTCCGCTCGGCGTTGCAATCGGCTGGCCGGTAAACGTCCGCCGCTTAATTCGCAAACGACCCAGCCTCGCCGTTCCAATCCCTTTACTCTTCCCCCGACAGTTTTACCGCTTTTCGACAATTCCGCTCTCTCGAGAGGGAGGGGGGGAAAAAAATCGCCTCCTCGTTCACCTCTGTGAATTTTATTGCCCGATCGCTACACGCGCGCCGTCCGAAAAGTCCCAGCTGGAGTTATTTCGTAGCGGTTGCCGTTGTCGTTGCGTTTTTACTTTACTCTGCTCTCTCTATTTACGATCTCGCCTTTTTACCGGCGACTCTTACGGGAAATTTTCTTCTTTCGAGGAAATTGAGCATTTTTGCTTATAAAGAAAAAAAAAAAAAGAGAAAATAGACAATTTTGTAACTTTTCGTTCATAATTCTGGAAATCTTTTTTCGACTTTGAATACCTACGAAACAAAATTACGGAACGATGCGATTTATTCGAACAGTTGTCAGGCAGCTGACGTTACATTTCTCAATCGAAAAGAGTTGGCCAAGCTCTTTTGATAAATGTGCAACGAGGCTTTAACCTGGATAATACCTTTCACGGGGTGGGAAAAAAGTTTATCCGTGGCTTCGATTGATGGGAATATAAAGCCACAAATTTGAATTTTAAGGTTAAAATTTTTTTATTTTTTACATTGCATTCTACTCGTCACGAAGGTCGCAACCTAATAGTTCTCTTAATCGTTTAATACTGCGGACGCATGCGTCCTAACAGCGACTTTATGGTTCTAGACCGTAATGTTTATATTTCAAACAATGTTAACTGATAACAAAGTTTATTTGATTGTTTGATTATTCACACTGATGCTACAACTATGATAAATCAAATGTTAGTGAAACCTAATAGGAAAATTACATTCACGCGTCCAGAACCATAAAGCCGCTGTTAGAACGCATGCGTCCTAAACATTTTTACCATTTTTCAAGAGAACTATCAGGTTGCGACCTACGGTTCCTTGGAAATGTATTACCTTCGTGATCACAGTAGAGTACAATGCAAGAAAAAAAAAATTTGAAATTCAAAGTCAAGATCAATTTTGCGACAGGTTCCTTACGTGTATTTCCATCAAATCGAAGGTGCAGAATTCAACTATGACTACCACGGGCAAACTTTTCTCTCCACTCTGTACAAACTATGCATTTTCCCAGCGTCGGTGACAAGTCTTTCCGTTAGATAGAACCAATCGTTCCGGACTCCGTCATCGCGACTCTTGAAGCTGCGCGTCACGTTTCAGCAAGTTGCACGAGCCTCTGTTGCAACCGTTTCAACGTGATTAAAACTCGCGATCCGGCAACCCGTCAGTCAAAGCTACGAACGACGAACTAGCAGCTTCACGCGAGCTGCCAGGTACCGGATGCCGAGGCTGGATCGTTGCCGGCGTTTGCACGACTTTACAAAGGGGATGGCGGGGTAGGTACTTCGCGCCACGAAACGTGCGAGAGGAGGCAGAGAGGAGGTAGACGGACGAAGGTGGATGATGGTTCGCCGCAAATTTCAACTTTTAATAATAAAGCGAGGGAGTCTCGAGTTGTTGGGTTATGATAGCAGGAACTGGTGGAGGCGAATTAAAGGCGGTAGGAAGCTCCGTTTGTCCTCGTCCCTCTCGGTCAAGTGAAACCGCAACACAGGCACCGCCGACACCGCGTAATTGGCCGACTCTCACTTGCCGCTTGTCCGATTGATTATTATTTTTGCACGGCCTGACTCCGCTGACCCCGTGCACTGCTCGCTCGATCGCCGATCTCGTCCGATCTCGTCGTTAAACAGGGCCCGAAACACTCTGTCGGTGGACAGCACTTCCTCCATGCATCGATTATCGTCGAATCGCTCCTTAGGAACGCATGACCATCCAACCATCTGTTGTATATGCCGCGTATCGTCGCTTGGACGATTTTTTCATTAGGCTAAACGAAACGCTAGATTTGGGCGTGGACGATTTTCTCGTCAGAACGAACTCACTGTTTTGCAATCAACAGTCTAAAGCCTGCTAGTGTCTTTTGTTCTTTATCGGCGCAGACTCGTGGCTGTACTAGTCGTATGGTCAAGTTTGACTTGATAATGAAACTTTATATAACTTTAATTGCAATGAATTATGCACAAGTCTTGTCTGAATCGCGCTGTGACAAATTCCACTTCAATATTACTTTCAATGCGCAGAAAACTTTCCAGACGATGGAGACGGATGTATAATTTTAATATTGATAATTTTATACGGTTATGTAACAATGTAAATTCTTTATTGATTAATTGAGACTATCTTGTTGATTAGCCGAGAATTTATTGGGTCATTGAGACTATTCGCGAGTTTGTTTTAGCGAATTGGCAACGCTAGACGTTTCTGGAAGATTCAAGATGTCTTCTTATCGAAAAATAGGTTCGCGACCGTCTTGACATTCCTCGGGTGGACGATAATATGTCCGAGCCTTGACTTAGTAAACACATGTTCCTTTTCAACTCGAGCTGTCAAAAGAATACAGACTAAACCGTGACTCACAGCGCTCGGCAATGTTTGACACTCTTGAGCCAACAGTGTTTAATCGGCGAACGTGTTTACGAGTTATTGCACCGAATGCAGTATCACCGACGGGATCTATTGTCGATCCGTTGCACGCAAATGTCAGCGTTGGCAAGATCGGGCTTCCCCCCAAAGTTCGAGCGGCGCGCACCTTTAAAGAAACCTCTCACGCGTGCTTGGAACATACTTGAAACGCGAAAGAACTTATTCGCCGGCCGGCCGGCCGGTGGCTGGCTATTATCTTTATACACCTCTCGACCTAGCCGACCTTAATGCGTCGATCACGTTACCGTTCCCCGGATCACGTTATTAAACCGTTCGATCTCATGGACAAAGGTTGTGAAGCCGGCTGTGAGCAATCTTTGAGAAATCCGACGCGGGAACCTAGGGAGCCCTCTCGCTGCAATAACTCGACTGGAGGAGTTGCTTCGAACGAATTAATACTCGTTTCTTGCGATCGCCGAGAACGAGGATCGAGAGGATAACTACGCCAGCTACTTGGAAGCATAGAGAGAGAGAGAGAGAGAAAAGGCTCTCGAGAGGAAGGGAAAAAGGAAAGCTCGTGAATACGCTAATCGGGAAGCTGGCAGCCGGAAGTGGTGGTAATCGACCGGTCGTAAATGGCACGCCTCCTCTTTTTCACACCACGCCGAGAGCGGAGGGTAATTCGATTCACGTGGGAGGACTCGAGT